TTGCCCATGTTAACTGTTGTTGCTGGGTTTGTTTCTTCTGTGTTCTTCACTTGGAGCAATAGAAAAAATATTTTTTTTAAATTACACATCATAGAAAAATCTGAAAGATACCTCAAGGAATGGTTTAACCAGCCCCATGCTCAGGGCTGAATTTGCTATATCCAAACTGCTCTCTGATTACAGCTCAACCTGCTCGGAAACTGCAGCCTTGGCAAATCCACAGCTTCCCTAAATTATTCAGGAAACACTTTATTCCTCTCGTTTTGCAATTCCCTTCCACATATTTGAGCACTGTTATCACATCTTCCCCTTTGCCTTCTCCAGGCTTAAATGGAGCGAGTCTGTTCCATCTTTCATCACAGGTCACATTCTCCAGGGCTCGGATCACTCCTTTCTCTTTGCTTTGGAGCTGCTCCAGCTGATTTTCCTGTCTCTTTTGATGTGTGGTGCTTCCAGCTGAGGAGTTCTGCCAGCTGGAGTGGCGTGAGCAGCCTGGCAGGTGATCCATCAGCTCCCACAAAACAGCCAGGAGGTGTCAAACAGGGGCTGGTGCCTGCATGGCATCTCTCCTGTCCCACTGTGGCTGTCCCATGGGCCAGGTGACACCGACAAGGAGCCTTGGGTCCCTCTGTACCTGCATTTTGGCCCCCTGTGCTGTGACTCATTTCCTACAGGGGGAGGTGAGATGGGTTCCAAGGCTGCTCCTCTGCAGCCATCCATCACTGCTAACCCACCACGCCAAGCCCAAACGTTCTTTGGTGATAGCTCATGGCCCTGGGGAGGGGAAGATTGGAAGCAAAAAATGGAGAGAATGAGGCCTTCATTAATTATCCCATAGCAACTTGGTGGGAGGCTGGATATTTTCCTAAACTCCCAAACTGTTTCTTGCACACATCCTCCCCCAACATTTTTGTCTGCTTGGTCCATAATTTCCATGCTGCCAGTTGCTAAGGTAAGATTCAAATTCTCCCTGGCTGCTGAAATCAGGGTCAATCCTGTGAATCACTGGGGCTGAGAGCAGCTGTGCCATGCCAAGATGGACAGACGTTAATGGAAGCTATGACTTCACATATTTACATGTATAGATCAGCCTCCAGCTGGGGAAGGATTCCCTCTTCCCTATCAGCTCAGCTGGGGCTGTGATCTCACCAAGTTTTTGCTTTCTCATGGACCACCTCCAAGTCAATGCAGGGTTACTGTGGGAAGCTGTGCCGCAGGAATTGCCCTCTTCCATCCCAGCTCCCCAGCCAGGCCCTTCCTGTAAAGTTTGTATATATAAACCCTATAAACCCCCCTGCTCGTGGTCAGGTCCCTCAGCACCAGTATCCCAGATCCCATAACTCCTGCAGCTTAACCCAGCAGTTCCACTTCTCTTTCTGAAACACCCACCTAAAGCTGCTAAATGAGTTCCTGATTTCCTATAAAAATTGCTGTGTTAGGAGCAAAGCTGGAGCAGCCAGAGCCCCAAGAGGCAATGCCAGATTTCTAACACTCTTCACTAAACTCACCATAAATCCCTTCTTGAATAACACCCTGAAGGATGGGGATGATCCAGGCAAGAAGGAGTCTGAAGCTCTCTGTTCTCTGCCCGGTGTCGTCCCTGAGCTCGACCCTGTTAGATGTGAAGTGTCACCCTGATTTTTTAATATTTTAAACACCACACGGCTGTTCTCAAGGTGGAAAAAGGGAAGTTTATTTTCTGACTCCAACATTTATAGTTTTCCAAAAGTGTCAGTGGGTTGGAGGGTGACAGTGCCACCTCTCCAATGACACTGGACAAACCAACAGTCCATCAAATTTCTTCTCCTCCATAAAAGAATGCAAAACAATAATTTATTTACAGAAAGCGTGTGAGAAAGTTTGTTACAAGAATGTCACCATCAGAAGGCTTAGAAAAACTTACAAAATCAGGGCAACAAGACTACGTGCATAAGTAGATGTGTATACGTGCCTTGCTATATTTCTGTAAAACTTTTGCCAATTATATTGACACTAATTGCTTTGCACCAATGAATATAATAAATTATTGTGATGTAGTTGATGACTTAATATCATGTTTTGTTAAGAAAAAAAGCTGGAGAACACACAGAATAAAAACTTTTTCTTCTTAAACCCTAATCCCGTGTATGTATGTGTCACACTTGACCTAACAGTAACAGTCTCTTTATATTTATTATTGTTGCTGTTTCATTTAGAACTTTAGAGAGGAAGGGGTTTCCAGGGTGAGCTTAGGAGCTGGTTCAAAGCAGACCCCAAAACTGCTTCCAAGCTTTAAAAAAAAATTATCACTTCCGACTCCAAGTGATGGATGGAGAATAAGACAAACCCTTCCCTATCACACAACAATCTCTCTCTAACTCTGTTTCCTTAATGATGTTTTGTTTTGCTGGCAACTCTCCCATTTCCATCTCCCCCACTTGGCACATTTTCTCTGACTCCCCAGTGCCTCAGGGACTGTGTTATCATGATCAAGCAAGGAGGAAATTACCAAAATGGCATCCTGTAATATTTCATACAGGAATCAAATGCTGCTTTACCATGAAGTCATCTGGTTTAGTCTATAAAATTCAGAGCACTTCAGGAGCTGGTTTCAGCTCCTGGACACCACTTCTAGACTGGCAAATAGGAGTGATCTGGTCCCACTTTGAAGAGAACTCCATGGTTTTGTGTCACAGCTGTCAGAAACCCCCTCCAGAGGCTTGGGGTGTGTCTTTCACTGCAGGCAGTGCCAGATGTTGGGATCTGGCTCCTCATTCCCTGTATCCCTGTGGTTCTGGGCCCACCAAAGTGCAGGGAGATGCTGACAGCAATCCCTGCCTGTGGAAAGGCGTCCTGGGCATTTTAATTAAATCCTCCTGTTCACTGCACAGGGAAGTTCCCAGTTTCTCGGGTTTTTGGTTGATAATTGCTGCCCCGAGATGCACAGGATGTCTCTGCTTCAGCCCGCACAACTGCTCCGGGTATCCTGGGGCAGAGGAGGGCCTGTGGCACCCTGAGCCCCTGGGTGATGCTGTTTCCTCTGGCTCACACGCTGCTGTGTGTGGCAAGAGAGGCGGCAGGGAGCCCTCCAGGCACAGGAGGGAATGTGAGAGCTGCTGGAGGGCTGCCAGGGCTGCTCCCGAGTGTCTCATACAATTAACAACCCGTGCCGTGCTGCCATGAATAACCCCAGCTCTCAGGCTGGGATGGTTGGAGCAGCTCCTGTGAAAGTTGCCCCATACTGGTGTATTTTCAATCCAAAGGGTGATTCCCTGTTAGCAGACCTTTGGTCTGCCCTGCTTTTCTCTTCCAATTGTGTATTTAAATACATCTTCCACCTGGGAAAGATTTCACAGAGTTAGGGAAAGGATGAAGATTGAAGGAAAATAAATTCTGTGGCTGCAGGAAGGGAAGAAGAGCAGCCTGGGCTGTAGGCTTTACTGACCATGCAATAAATGCAATTATGCACCCCCCAGTGCACACAAAGGCTGTACTAATATTTTCAAGTGTCTCCAGTTGCTCTCCTGTGTTCAGTGATGTGATCAGCACCTGCCTCTAACCCACTGCAAGGAAAAGAAGATAAATGGTATTTTTTCCTCGTCACTTTAGATGATGCAAGCAGCAGGAGTGTGCAAATGTGATTTTTGGCATGGTGTTTTTGTTGAATGTGTGTTTGAGGCAACCTGAGCCACACTCCATAAGTGCCATATCAGCCTCTTGAGGTTTAGCAAGACCAAGCTCAGGGTGCTGCACCTGGGTTGGGGCAACCTCTGGGATCAACCCAGGCTGGGATGAGCAGCTGGAGAGGGACCTGGGGGTGCTGGGGGTGAGAGCTGGAGCTACCCCAGCTCTGAGCCCCTGCCCTGGGCTGAGCCCAGCGTGGGCAGCAGGGCAGGGGGGATTCTGGGGCACAGGATTCCACCCCAGGAACAACCAGGGAGGGCTCCGTAGCCCTTTGCTTCCCGGGAATCCCCAGCTTTGGGAGCGGAGAGGGAGCAGAGAGTGATGTGAATCCAAAGCTTGCCACCTCCTGGCCACTGAGAGTGTAGGAACTTAGGGATGAAAAAGGAAAATAGGGATGGGGAAGGGATGTGATTGCAGAGTGCAGAATATTGACCTGACCTCACCGAGCCTGGGCTGCTCAATTTATCTCTTTATGTTTGTGTGGGGTGCTGAGTTTGTGAAAACTGTGGTACAGCAGGTGCCAGTAATACCAGTATCCATCCATCCATCCATCCATCCATCCATCCATCCATCCATCCATGTTTTCATTGTGTTCCCCCCAGATGGCAGAAACGATGAATCTGACTCCATTTTCTCTTAAGCCTAATTTATTACTTTATAATACTATATTATATTAAAGAATACTCAACTAAACTATACTAAAGAATACAGAAAGGATACTTACACAATGCTAAAAAGATAATAATGAAAACTCCTGACTCTTTCCAGAGTCCTGACACAGCTTGGCCCTGATTGGCCAAAGAGTGAAAACAACTCCTAACAGAATCCAATGGAACAATCACCTGTGGGTAAACAATCTCCAACCACATTCCACATGAGCACAGCACGGGAGAAGCAAATGAGATAAGAATTGTTTTCCTTTTCTCTGAGGGTTTTCAGTTTCCCAGGAGAAAAACCCTGGATGAAGAAATCATGTTCAGGGAATGTGAATGCCACACACCCATCCGTCTGTCCGTCCGTCCATCCATCCATCCTCGATTTTCCCAACCCCATCTACGTGTGCTGATACCCTGTCCCCTCCCTGCACAATTCCCAGCAACAGTTTCCACACCTGGGGGAAAATGCACCTGCCCAGGTGATGCCAGGCTAAGGCTGTTATAAATTTTTTAGGTTTGTTATAGGTTTTTAATAAACTTTTGTGCACAGATTTTTAATAAATAGGAATGGGAAACCAAAATCCCATGGTTATAAAAATAATAAAATGCTGTAACTATGGGGCTTCAATAAGGGACTGAACCACGGGCACCTGAGGCATCACAGGGACATGTCCAGGACTTCCCTCCCTCCCAGCACAGCCCAGCTTCTCCATCAGCTTTGGAGGCAAGATGGTGATTGTACCACACATGCAAATCAGGGAAGTCATTTAATCTGGGCTGGCATCACCCTAATTACAGCAGTGCCATCAATCTTTCTGCCTTCCAAAGCCACAGAAAGCTTGAGGGCACAGGGGGAAGAGCCCAGAGAGCAGCAGGGCAGGGAACCCCAAGGGCAATGTTTAGTGTGAGGTGACTCCAAAAAATGAGTGCCCAGGCCAGGTGGTGATTTGAGCATCCCCATTACCCCTCAGCACCAGTCCTGCCCATGGCACAGGGACTGGAACTGGGATCTCTGGGGGTCCTTTCCACCCTGCACAGCCCTGTGGTTTGTGTGAGCTGGTTATAGCCCATCAGAGGCTCACAGACACCCTGATCAGGGAGGAGAAAGCAGCTGCTGTCACTGGACACTGTTACAGCAAGTTCAGGTTGTTTTTCCCTTCTGAAGTAGGTAGGAATTGAATATCTGTCTTGCAGTGCTGTTCTCAGTGATCACCAAATTGCTGACTGCTGTCAGCACAGGCAGTTCCTATTATCACTCACCTTTTAGCAAGATGCAATCAATCCTAGCTAAAAGACTGGCAGCTTTTGGGTTTTCTCCCACAAAATCAGCTTCAATCTCAGGATACAACCCATGCAAATGCAGCTGCAACTACCTGGAGCAGCATCAGCCCTTTGACTCATATTTTCAGTGCCTGCAGTGGCGTCAAAGCGTCCCTTTGGCTTATCAGGCCACCACAACATGAACCTGGGGCCAACTTCACACCTCTCAGAACCAGGGCCACTCTAAGCCTGCTGGCACTGCTGCTGAGCTCCACTACACAGCTGACCCCACAGCAAAAGAGCCACCTTGTCCTGCAATACTGCACTGATGTCTGCAGCAAAACCCCAGAGAGCCCTGGCAATCCACAACAGACCGTGTGGTGTCCCCAGACATCTGCAGGTGTCCCCTAATTAGTTAATTGCCTGAATGGGCAGCACTGTGTCCCAGCACAGCTGGCATGGTCTGACTGGTCCCTCTGGTAGTGTCTGGCCTGTCCAAGGTTTTCACTGAACTCAACACAACTGAAAATTGTTGGAATTTTCCATTTGCTGCAGAGGTGACTTTAGTCTGACTCCTTGGAGTGCCTTTTATGTGTCTCTTCAGGAGATACCCTAAAATTACCAACATTACCCTGTTAGAAATACTCTGTCCCACCAATACCAGCTCCTGAATTTTGTGACTTGCAGCTAAAGCTCCTCACCTGTAATGAATGAATGAATCTCTTCCTTGTTCCCAGGATAACAAAGAAATCTCCAAAGCCTCTGAATAAGCCCGTGCTGTGCAGGGTTCAGGCTCACACCAGAGCCCTTGCAAGATGTACTTGGTACAAAACTGCAGAGCCAGGTTGTTGCCTGAAATAAAACCTGCTTTTGCAGCAGAAACAACATATTTATGCTGTATAATTCTTGCACTTTTATCTTTTATCTCTGACATCCTCTCCATACAGCTCTCTCTAAAATCCTACTACCAAGCACAGTCTCTTAATTACATCCATTTTTCTCATGACATCTGCCTTTCTTTTAAAATTCCACAGAATTTTACACTCTGTCTAGCTTAGCCAGGGTAACGGGACACTTACCTGGACTCAGCCACAGAACCCTGGAGTTTGGGTTCCTCTTGCAATATCAGTTTTGGGGACCAATGATTCATAGAATGGTGTGGTTTGAAGGGATCTTAAAGCCCACCCAGTGCCACCCCTGCCATGGCAGGGACACCTCCCACTGTCCCAGGCTGCTCCCAGCCCTGCCCAGCCTGGCCTTGGGCACTGCCAGGGATCCAGGGGCAGCCACAGCTGCTCTGGGCACCCTGTGCCAGGGCCTGCCCACCCTCACGGGGGAGAATTCCCAATTCCCAATATCCCATCCAGCCCTGCCCTCTGGCAGTGGGAGCCATTCCCTGTGTCCTGTCCCTCCAGGCCATTGTGAGCAGCCTCTCTCCATCCCTCCTGTGGGCTCCCTCAGAAGGGATCCTGGATTATCCCACATTTTAGAAGCAACACAATTACCTCCTGTGGCCTTTGTTTTTTTAAGATGCAGCTTTTCCTGTTGTGTCTTCTTCTCAGGCCATCAGCCTGGGATTACAACTAGGACCTAACCTGAAACAAGGAAAAGGAGCACCCACCATCCTCCTTGGGCATGACAGGAAATGCCTTCTCCATCATTTTCTCACAATTGTCATCAAACCCTGAGCCCCACACATTCCACATTCCTTACCAGGGGAATCAGGGCATTTGCTCCTTTAAAAAGCAGGTGTGAGAGGTGCCCAGCCCAGCCCATTCAGGTTTATTGGTGGCTGTGAGGGGTCACACCAGCGATGCTGGAGAGGTGACAAACCCAGCAGGGAAACCCCTGTGGTTTGGGATGAGGGGAGCAGTGCCAGGACCTGCAGTGGGCCCATTGGGGTTGTGAGAAAAGAGACTCACTTCCAAAATATATAGAAGTTCTATTAAAACCCTATCAAAAAATAGAGCAGAAAATAAAATAGAGGCAATATTACAGCTCTGGGAGCAGAGGATTTTTCCCATCATGTGCTCACTCACACAATGGAGGTTTCACCTTTTAACCCTTTAGCCCTCGCAAAGTTCTGTCCATCGATTCCTTCTCCCTGTCCAGGGCTGGAGATCACTTCCTGACAGCTTTTTTGGAGGTCAGCTGTTGCCATAGTAATGAGCCAACCCTCCCAAATGTCCCAAACCCAGGCAACAACACAAGGCGATAACGATAAGTGTACAAAACTTCTCCTAACATATATATGTGATGTTTGCCTTTTCATTGTGATAAAACATAACTATAAATCTGTAAAACTTCTCTTAACATATATACAGGATATTTGTCTTTTAATTGTGATAAAACATAACTATAGAGCTATAAAAATTCTCCTAACATACATACAGGATATTTGCCTTTTAATTGTGGTAAAACATAACTATTAATCGATGAAACAATAACTATAAATCTATGAAACTTCTCCTAACATATACACAGGATATTTGCCTTTTAATTGTGATAAAACAACTATAAATCTATAAAACTTCTCCTAACATATATACATGATATTTGCCATTTAATTATGACAAAACATAACTATACATTTATAAAACATAATTATGTCTCTATAAAACTTCTCTTAACATATATACATCATATTTGCCTTTTAATTGTGATAAAACATAGCTACAGATTTATAAAACTTCTCCTAACATATATGCATATTTGCCTTTTACTTGTGATAAAACATAACTATAAATCTGTAAAATTTCTC